TAATAAATAACAAAGCATTCAACAATATAATTGACAAGTTACCACTGGCTATAAACAATAAACTAGGCTTATTAATTAGGTTTTGTAATTTGTTCATGAATGAATGTTTGTTTGTTAATTATGTATAGTAACTTGTCAATGACTGAATATATTGTTATTGTTATTTATACAAGAGCATGAATTGTAAAACAGTATAGGGGTAATTAGGTCTTTCTTTTTTTCTCCAAAATTTTATTTTCAGACATGTTCCGGAAAATGCAATGATATTTCAGATTTTTAGGCCATTCTTTGATATTAAAATGCTATTAGGGTCTTTTGATGATATTTTTCCTTTAATTTATTCTTACTAAATCAAGTAAAGGTTGATTAAAGTATAGTGGAATCCACCTCTATAATTAACATGCTTCTGCATAATAATTTTCTTGATTATTAATATTAGTTTGGTAGTTACAGATACATATGTATTCGTTTTTATCAGACACCTTGAGTTGTACCAATAACAGGCCAGGTTGGTGCATATATATTAACGCGGGCGAGAGAGAGAGAGAGAGAGAGAGAGAGAGTATTTAATGAAGGTTGGGTAAGAATTCGTTGATAGTTATTTATTAAAAAAATTAGAAATTAGAAATGATTCTATATATATTATATGTGTTGCTGTTAATTAAGTTAATAAAAGGGATGAGGCAGACTGGAAAAATGGAATATAAGTCTTTCTAGCTTGGCATATGAATTAACACACATACTCACGCCTTCACAGATCCAAACGTGCGCTGGATAACCCCAGGGGACCACACTCTATTTCCTTCTTTCTCTTTCTTTAATATTTCCTTTTTTATTTTTATATTGTATTAAGAAAAATTCTTGATCACAATAACAATGCTTGTAATTTTCATGATTTTTCTATCATAAAAGACGACTGATGAAAATATAAGCTAAAATTGGCATGAATGATAGAGATTCTTGTTCCTTAAATAAGTGGTTAGGGGTTTGATTCCTAACACTTATATCAATTGAACTTATTCCTTATACTATACAAAAATAACAACAACAATAAACCTTATCTCATAAAGTGAGGTCAGCTATTTCTTATAGTATATATATATATATTTATATATGTAAAAGGGACCGATAAAATCATCACTAACAAGTAACAACATTATTTAATTTACAAACCACAAAGAAATATGTGGATGGCATTCTTCAAAAAGAGAATGATAAAGAGATCTTAAAAGGATCAATTAATTTAAATTAGGTCCCAAGTGTTGAATGTTAGGAACTCATACCTTAATCTCTCAATTTTACAACTTCATTGTGATGAATTTGCAACTCATTCCAAATTTTAACAGAAAAAATAATTTTTTTATTCTTCAACTATGTTAAAATTTAGAAAATAAGTTGTAAATTCATTACAACTCATTTTTAAAATCAAGAGATGGACTTGCAATTTTTAGAGTTTGATATTTGAGACTTAATTTAAATTAATTGATTTTTTTAGAACCTCTTTATCATTCTCCCTCCGTCAAATTATAGACAAGAGATCTATCTAACTCAATATGAAACAGGCTATGTTTTTTTGGTAATAATAAATACTTAATTTTCTGTAAATAAATATTTAATTTAGTAAGTCTATTTTATCTCCTATCATGCTCAATGCACTATAACCATATGGAAATATTTTTTTTAACTAACTTGCAAATTAAAACAATTAGAGTAAATTCATAATTAATATGGTTTTAGAGATACTTTTCATATTTTGCAATTACGGATTTTATAGCTTGTCCTTGAAAAATTATCCTTCTTTCTGGCTCTTTAAAGATAAAATATTTTTACTTAATATCTAAGTCTAATTTTGTTTGATCAAAAAAATTTCCTATGAAAGCTTTTATTGTATTTTGAGGGCATATTTCTGCCCGCAGGCGGTGCAGATGATACTCATATTTAAAAAAAAAGAGAGAGATTTTATGTTTAAGATTTGAATAAAAATCAAATTAAAAAACTAAATTACCTACAAAACTACAACAACTACTTTAGAAGTTTTTAAATTTATTTTAGATATTATTTTTTTACAAATATTTGATATATGGTACTATCAAGATTTGAGCAGTACTGATTAAGTGGTTAATATCTTTTTTTAAAAATGAAATTATGATCAGAACCAATATTTTTTATGAAAATTATTTTTCTTTAATTAATAACAATCTCCTCGGTACAGGCTGAAAATTCCACACGCTATAAAGCCGTATATGAAATATACATTGCTCATAAAGTCCACCACGTTGAAGCACGTTGTGGGGTCATTGCGAGTTAATGGAGCTATTTTTTTATCCAATTCCAAAAATAAATATATAATTAATAAAATACCAACTTTATCACTTTAGTTCACAAATACATATATTCCGTTCCGTCCTTACTATAAGATAAATTTTAAAACTTTTCTAGTCTTTATTTTTTTAATTGAATACTGGTGTAATCCAGTTCGAAGTACAGTCAACATTAATCAACATTAAATATGAACATTTCTCTCAATAAATTTACAAACTTTAGTTCATCATGTTACAAGAAATTAGCTCTTTTAACTATACCTAACTCCCCTTAATTTTATGAAGAGGGGTGAATATATGGCAAAGTTAGAATAATTAATACTTTTGTTTATAACTTTTATCCTTATTTATTTATTATCATTTGAATTTATAGACAGCAATTTATTAGGGTTATTAATTGCAAATAAGAGTAAAATTAGAAAGTTATATCTATATCTATATATATATATTTTATTACTTTAACGATATAATTACAATTTCTTAATAAATGCTGAAGTTTATTAACTTCATCTTAAATTAAAGGTTGGAAGGAGTATATATTCAACGAATATAATAAAGAAAGAGAATAAAACATTAGGTAAGACAAGCTCTAACTATAAATATATACATATATTTGTACAAACTGAAATTATTACCATTGATTCGTTGGCAAAATCACCTAATTACAATATGGTCCATCACAAGTTTCAAATGATTAACGAATTATGGAGCATTAGAAGATTAATTAATTAAATTAATGAACCAATTTTGGGTATAAATAAATTTATTCTACATTTAATATTTATTATGTTAGGTTCAACCTAATTGTATTCATCACCAGTACTCCTCTTATCCATCCATTAATGATCTCTTCCTTTGCAAACTTCCCCTCCGCCTAACTAATTTTCATATTAAATATAAAACAACGGTTCCGATTTAAATTTGGATTTAAATTTTCAACTAGATATTAATTAGTGATATTAGTAATTAATTTTATTTTCCAAGCACTTTCAACATGAAAAAAAGAAAATAATGATAATTACCAATTTTCTTTTGATTAAGAACTCTTTCCAATATTTTCACGATCGAATTGGAGAGAGATTAAAAAACAAAAGTTGTAAAAACTACATAATCCATTTCTCTTTCTACTATAAAATGAAATCATGATATTGGAAGCCTTATTGTTTTATAGAATTGTGAACGGTGTAGTTTTTAGTTTTTTGGTTTTAAGCAACACACATAATTGTTGGTCAAAAAAAGAAGAAGAAGAAGAAGAAGAAGAAAAAGCAGCACACGTAATTAATTTAAGAGAGTAATTTATATCTTAAGAGAATTAGTAGTAAATAATTTTGATATCAAGGGTAATTTTGTAATTTTGAGCACAAACGGCCACCGAAATCCAAAATCCCCAATGCCAAGGATGACCTACAATGGGCCAGCTTATTATCTTCATCGTCGCTTTCTGCAGGCTGTTCCCACTAAAACTCATAAATTTCATATTATTATTTTATTTTTTAAATAATATTTTTTAAATAAATATTTATACCAATTTTTTTTTTAATATACCTACACTTCTATTATTTTCTCCTAATATTAACTAGTGGACGGTATTGTAATAATTCTCTTAATTGCTTTTCGTTTTTTATTTTTCTTTTCCTTTTTCCAGAACTTTATCACACACACAAGAACCAAGCCAAAGTGATCGAGTCTTGCTTGTCCTTCTTTTCAATCCAACCAAACCAAAAAAAAAAACTCCAGGTTCCATGCCCCAATAAAATAAAATAAAAAGGAGAATTTCAAATAAAATACTGAGGATATTACTTAATTATCAGTGGGTCTAAAAAAAATTTAAAACTTCAATTTAGTCCAAGAGATAAAAGTAAAAAATCTAAAATACTTTTTATTTGTTAAGAAAAATTAATAGTTGTTAATTTTCTTATTTCACTTGTTAAGTTTTTATTAATATGAGTTATAAATTATATGAGTTGACATGTCAATAATTATATAAGACTTAATATTAGTCATTCAATTATAAGTAGTAACATATCAGTTGTTAAATTATCAAATTTATTTATTAATTTATTAATTTACTAATATCAGTTGTAAATCATTAATAGATCTTGTAACTTGTTCATATCAATTGTAAATTTATAATAGGTCTTATAATTTACTAACATCAAGTAAAGTTAATAAATTAACAACTAATATTACTGTATGTTTGACAATTGATATAATTTATAAGTGATATTGATAAATTAATAAATGAAGTAAGAAAATTAAAAAGTAGTGATTTTACATAATAAGTGAAGGGTATTTTAATCTTTTCATTGTTGAAATTATTTTCACATTTACCTTCTAGACTGAATTAAAATTTCAAATTTCTTTAGGATCCATTGATAATTAAGTCGTATCCGTGGTCCTTATTTAAAATTCTCCCAAAAAAAGTAACAACAACCATAACTATTATTCACACACACACAAAAAAAGAAAAAGAAAAAGAAAGTTTGCCCTCATCAGTTCAACGCTAACTTTACAATTTTCTAATTTCATTATTCTTTCTATTATTATTTTTCTATACTGACGAAATCGGCAGAGAAATCCCACCTATGATAAACAAATTAATTAATTAATTCACTCCCTCAATTATTTAATTAAAACACCCCATGCGCATGATAAAAGCCCTTTCAATGTTATTCACCTTGTTTTCCGCTATTCTTTTCTTTGTTGTAATTTGCTTTTGGCGGAGCATGTGGGAGCCTCTCTTCTTTGTCTCTATAGCTATATGATGCAGCTAGGGAACCCGACCACAGTCGTATCTGGGATGGTTTCTAAGGCTGCCGAAGCAACGCTTTCGCCACCGCCACGGCCACCGGAAGACGTCGAGGCACCGGGCGGTGGTGATGAGATCATAATTGGAATGGATAATACTGCAGCAGCAGCAACTTCATCTGGTGAAGGTGACAAGATGAACAGTGGAGGGAACCGGTGGCCCCGCCAAGAGACTTTGGCTCTGTTGAAGATAAGGTCTGATATGGATTCTGTGTTTCGAGATTCAAGTCTTAAAGGTCCACTCTGGGAAGAGGTTTCAAGGTACATATATATATGTATGTATTTAATTTAATTTAATTTCTCTTCTGGGTTTTGTTTGATGTCCAAGAAGCTAGCTTCTTTGAGATCATGCATGGAGATCAGTGAATTCGCTTTCAATTCACAGAGAACCAATCAATTTGGGAATTCACAATTTTCCTTTCACTGTTACTTGTTTTTAGCCATTTCTGGCTAGGCCCTATATATATGTGTATATATATATATATACATATATATTCTCTTCATCAAAACTTTTCGAATCAATCGAAGGATTTGGCATATCTGTATTCTATACATATATAATTGAATTTTAGAATTCCAAGCTGCAACAAACTAATTAAAACATCATGTTTTAGTGCTTGATTCGATATTATTCTATGTGGTTTTTCTAAAATTTTCAGACGTTTATCTTCTTCTGAAGCTCGGATTAATTATTTCATTTCTTTTATTCTTTACTGATGGTCCGTTCAGGCAAGTACTCCAGCTTCATATTGAGTCAAATATATATACGTTTGAGCGATGCTTGTAATAACATGCATTATATTCTTTCTTTTCCCCATCGAAATGTTGAATAATATCATGAAATGTGGCAATTTTTATGGTTTATTTATGTTCTAAAAATTGAATTATGATGTTACCAGGAAGCTAGGAGAGCTTGGATATCAGAGAAGCGCAAAGAAGTGCAAAGAGAAATTTGAAAACGTGTTCAAGTACCACAAGAGAACCAAAGATAACAGAAGTGCCAAACCAGAAGGAAAGACCAAAACCTATAGGTTTTTCGATCAACTAGAAGCTTTTGAATCTCGATTATCTCTTTCTCACTCTCTGCCTCAATCTCATCAATCTCATTCTCAACCTCAAACTCAATCTCAGTCTCATCATAATCCTCCAAAATCATTATCCCAACCTTTTAAAAATTTTCCTTCAAATACACTGGCGTCATTGCCATTTCTCTCAAGGCCTAGTGATCATTCATCAACAACTGTTCCATCCTTAAATCCTCCGATAGCGCCGCCGAAGAACACGAACCTTTCGACGTCGACCTCGTCATCCACGGCCTCTGACGAGGACTTGGAAGAGAGGTACAGGAAGAAGAGGAAGTGGAAGGACTGCTTCAGGAGGCTTACAAGGCGGGTCTTGGTCAGACAGGAAGAGATGCAGAAGAGGTTCTTGGACGCCATTGACAAGCGAGAGCGAGAACGTGTAGCTCAGCAAGAGGCTTGGAGGATGCAAGAGATGTCTCGGATCAATCGAGAACACGAAATCCTCGTTCAAGAACGATCCACAGCTGCCGCAAAGGACGCTGCTGTCATTGCATTCTTACAGAAGTTATCCGGCGGGCCACAGCACACTCAGCCTCCACCACCACCTCCACCGCAGCCGCTGGTGGTGTCGGTGACGCAATTCCAACCACAGCCACAGTTGGCAGTGATGCCGAATACCAACATTAGCTACGAAAAGTTTGAAATCCAGAAAATGAATAATAACAACAATCACAAAATCAACGGCGGCGGAGGTGGAGGTGGCGGTGGTTCTTCACGGTGGCCGAAGACGGAGGTACATGCATTGATAAGGCTGAGGACGAATCTGGAGGCAAAGTATCAGGAAAACGGCCCTAAGGCTCCATTGTGGGAGGAGATATCGAGTGGAATGCAGAAGTTAGGATACAATAGAAGTTCCAAGAGATGCAAGGAGAAGTGGGAGAACATAAACAAATACTTCAAAAAGATCAAAGAAAGCAACAAGCAAAGACGTGAAGATAGTAAGACTTGTCCTTACTTCAATGAACTCGAAGCTTTGTACAAAGAAAAGACCAAGACCCAGAACAACAACGACATTGACAGCCTCTTCAGTAACTCATTTGATCACAATGTGGAGCCATTGATGGTTCAGCCGGAGCAGCAATGGAGGCCTCCAACGCAAGAAGAAGAAGAAGCCGCAAGGGATTACGCAAGTCAGTGTCAGGAATGTGAAGAAGAAGAAGAAGAAGATGAAGGAAGTCTTGACTTAGAAGACGAAGAAGTAGGAGGAGGAGGCGGCGGCGGTGCTGGCAGTGACGGTGGTTATCAGAATAATAGCTCGAAATCCAAACTTTGTTGAATGAGACAAGATGAGGAGGTTATATATTTCTGAATGGAAAGTACTACAGCTGAATTTTTCGACTATATATTTTCTCTGGGAATATATATATATATATATATCTTCAAATATAATGTGTCACTGAACTTTGTCATAGAGAAGATGTAAGGCAGTGATTAAAGCCATATGTACACCTGCACGAAGGAGTGAGAAGAAGATTCAATTCTTTAATTATGAAAAAGCAAGGCCATATATCTGGGGAGCAGCTTGAAGACCGATCCATATGGTTCATTACACCTATCTGATCAACTTTTTCTGATCACACACACTCTCACACACACATATGGGCCACCATAAAAGGGGATGATTGGAGTTCTGGTTCTGAGATTAATAAGGCAAAAAACAGCGATCACATGGGCCAGAAAAGCAGCTGTAGTGGGGGAGTACATGTTTTTGCTGTTAGAGTGAGATAAATTATGTGCAAAAGTGTAAAAATTGAGATGATAGAGAGAGAGGGGGGTGGGTCCCCCATTGGATAGATAGATATATAATAAATTTTTCAAGTCACATGTAGGTCTTGCAAGTTTCTTATATGTTCTCCAGTGAGTGTAACTCTTTATAACAAGACTCACAGAACCAGGCTGTTCGAACTTTGATTTTTCCTTCTTGGAAGTATTCGTAAATATTCTGTATGTGAGATTGCTGATTCAGTTCATGAGAAGAGAAGAAAAGACTTCGCTAATAATATACAGCGCAAGACTTACGTACTTAACTTTATATAATTAATGTGTTTTTATCCAATCAAATTAAAACATGTGTATTTTAAGATGTTAATGATATATAACAAGATCTTGTTATGGAATGAACAATATATAAATGATTCACAAATCTTAATTTAATTGAAAATAAACACTAAGCATTTAAGTTGAGTATGCATTTAAGTTGAGTATAGTATAAATTTTTCCCTTATGTTTACTCCGTACCATCAGATGCCTACTATTATTATTTAATGGTAGTTAAAGAACAATTTTATTTTTAAACTATAAATTTATGATTGTTAGGGTCCTAAACTCATTTAAACAGTACAATATTGCTTCTATCATTAATAAAAATTAATTTTAATCATTAGACCCCAAAAATTATAGAAATGAACTAAAAAAATTTACAGAAAATGATTCAAAATTACAGATAAAGACTCAAAAAATTACATAAAAGACTATTACTTGATCCAAAAAAATTTCTTAATCCTTTTATATAATTTTTTGGGTCAATATCGATATTTTTTGGGTTCTCATTAGTAAGTTTTGGATCAACTAATGATTAATAAGTTAACATTTATTAACGATAATTAGAAAGATATTTCATTATTTACAAAAGTTAAAAGAAAAGATCACACAAAATAGTATACAGATGATCGTAGACCTATGTAATTTTGAAGCAAATTTATCATTTAATTCTTATTATAAACGATGAAGAGGTTTCTCGAAAGCATATATATTGCTACTAGTCGAGTCAGGTAAGACCAGAAGTGTATATGTATGTATGTATAAAGTTCTTCATAAAAAGTGTATTCAACGGACTTAAATAGAAAATTTTAATTTGAAAAAAGACAGATACCGAACCGTCTGAATCGACTATAAATCTATAATTGATTGGAAAATTTTAGACAAATGTTAAAAAATCATATGATTGCTTGACGACGAATGTCACCGCTCACCGATATGTGCGAGAGACTGAGCATTTGTCAAAGATGCTGTCATAGATATTCCTTTTGCTGGATTTCACATATACATATATAGTTGTTCTTCAATAATTAACAATATATAAAAAGGAAAAATTACATAAAAAGAAATCAAACCTTGAAAAATTAGATAAAATAATATAAATTTTTTAAATTATTTCAAAGGATCTTCTGTGCATTGCCACATTTTGCCTATTCGTCCAAAATATGTAGTTTGAGTCGATTTGTTTTTGAGTTTATTTCTCATATTTTCTATTTTAGAAGAAACATAATGCAGGATAGATTTAATTTTTCAACTCACTTTTAACGATGACGAATTTTGTTAAAACAAAAAACAATAAAAACGAAATCATCTAAAGTGCTGAAAGTTTGGAATTAAAGCCCCCAAACCCCCCATTGCCGCACAATCTACCCTCACCAAGTGAATTTTAAATTTAAAGAATGAGGCTATACTAAATAAAAAAATCACTGTAATGTTGTTTAAATTCTTTTTCTTATAAGTTTGATTGTAAGTCTCATAAAGTTTGATATTCGTTCTTCAAATTAAAATAACTAATTTGTTAGATATGAATCTTATTTTCCATTATATAAACGATTACTTGTTATAAAACTCTATATTTTTAAGAGAAAATTATACACTTCCTCTGTATCTACTTATTACGTTTTAATTTGTAAGATACTTTTTGAAAAAATTTGATGTCTTATAATATAAGATATTTTGATAAAAGTAAAATTTCATTAATGATTCTTTTTTAATATTACCTTTCAAATTGTATTCTCTTTCTTTAATATTTTTTTTCATAAATGGTGTATTAAATGAAAGATATTTTTGAAAGTTTATTTTTGTTTTGAAAAAATAAAATTGTAAAGTATATTTAATGAATTTTATTAGTATACATGATTTTGTTTTAAAATGTTTCATAATTAAGAGGGGGATAGTATTTACTTGTGCTTATGGGAAACTTAAAGCAGACAAATAAAGGAGAAAGCAAAATCTATGTATACAATGTAAGAATTATTTTTTTCCTCTTTTCTAGTATTTATCTTCATCTAATGCCATACTAGTTTAAATCTTACTCCTTTCTATCCAAAATATAAGCATTTCTCCTTAGCTAATCTTAATTCAAAAATTTGAGTAACTTAGTACATGTAAAACTTTTTTTCCCATTTTATCCCTTTGCATATATATCTCTCACTCATCATAAAGTGTATTAATAATTGAAACTAGAGGTAAACAAAGAAAACAATGTACTCCCATTGATTCTATTTATAGGGTAGAGAGAAATAATATTTTTTCTATCTTATTTATAAGTCACTTCATTAAATTTTCATGCTTTTATTCTCCATTAAATATTAGAGAGAGAAATTATGTTGTTAAGGTGTATATATTTAATAGGGACAAAGTTAAAAACTTATTAAATTTTAAGACAGAGTTAATGAGTTTTAAAGTTTTTATTAGTTTTGATGAAATATATTGAAAATAACTTATAAATATAACTAGATATTAAAATAAGAACTTTATTGATATGTGAATTTTTTTTGATTATATTTTGGACAGAAGGGCTCAATTACCTTCATTTGATGCTCCGTCTAATAGGGATATTATTATTGGAAACAAGTAATAATTATTCCCTATAATCTTATTTATAATTTACTTAGCTTCTAGTATGTTTTACTCAAATCAAGAAAAACTTTAAATCACATAAACTTTGTCTTAAAATTTAATAATTTTCCATCTCTTTATCTCTTAACAAGGACAAACAAAATTATTTTTAATCATTTTTTTCTAGCATTTAATAAGAGTAGAAAGGTAACGATGAACCTGAAAAAATGGTAAAATATCTTATAAATAGAACCAAAATTAATTTTCTCTCTCTACTTTATATATTAGACTAGAGAAGTACAGTATACCTTAAAATTTGAAACTGGACTGGGAAAAAAAAAGAAGAAACTGGACATCTATTTAAGGATAATAAAAATGCAAATCAGGACAAGTAAACTGGGACAAAGGAAATTAAATATTAATAAACTCTTAACACTCTCTCACAAATCAAGACAAGTAAATTGGGACGAAGGAGATTAAATATTAATAAACTCTTAACTCTCTCTCTCTCTCTCTCTCTCTCACACACACACACTCACTCACTCACAAAAGAATAGTGAATTACAATTATTAAAGGAGGGGTCACCAAGATGACCCTTGAGAATATATATGGCTGGCCACTAATTCTTGACTGCTAGTTGCACGCAACATGACAACTTTACATATGCATGACCTATCTCTCTCTTTTGCAGGGTCCACTATAGGGAATCTTCTTTCATGTAAAAAATTATTAGCCAATTTTCAATCACCACATTTTATTTATATATATATATATATATATATATGTTTGTAATAATTAACCGGTTTTGTGTGTTGACTTTTGCACGAATCATGAATTATCTATTATATGGGTTTGATCAATGAGTTCATCATTATTATTATTTACTATCACTCATGGGGAAGTTGAACAATATGTGTGTTTATTATTACCATAGCATACAAGGAACAAATAATATAAGTAAATGACGTTTTATGATTCCTGTTCTCAGTCAACAAGTTAATATCATTTTCAGTTTTTCTTCCTAAGAAAATTACTAATTTGAACCCCCGATCTATTGACGTAATTGTCCAAGCCATTCCATGTAATTGTGAAGAAATTAATTCACACATAACTACATGTGCATATACATACATATATTCTTCCAGTCTTATTTATAGAACAAATAGAAAATAGTCTATTTTGATCTTATTTATAGGCACCTCAATAATTAATTATTCATTTTTACCTTTTTGTCCATTTTAGAGTATTTTATTTTAGATTAAAGGATAAAAATATCCATGAACTTTTTCTTGAGGAACGCCTAGTGTCTTAAAATTTTTATTAAAACAGTTTTGTTCTAGTACTTTTGAATGGGTGCAATGTTGTCTCGCCATTAATATTGACCATTAAATATGTTTGTTGACTAATAGATGCTGATAGGACAACCTTTATGCAATGATTAGGATTACCTCTCCATCCCCTCCACCCATTTCCTGGTTTCTCTCTCAATAGGCCATTTCTAGAGGTCAAGAAAACAAACAATTGCTCTAGTTTTTCATTTTCGATTAATGAGTTGGCAGGAAAGCATCAAGCTATACTAACCAACATAGAAAACAGTTAGAAGAAA